TTGTCACTCGGCGTAAGGTTTGCTTTGCATAATTTTGGACTTGGATTTCCCAAAAAAAATTTATTTTTTCGGAATTCCTGTGAACTTTATTTTGCTTTCTTGTCAAGTATTCCCGTTGATAATTTAGAATTCAATCACGGTTGACTGGATTGCCATCGGGGGCGTAGGATAGTGACACAGAAAATCTAATTATGAGTTATAACACAGCTTTTGGGGCGAAATCCAAAAGATGGTTCACGCACGGATCGAACAGCACTTTTGGCCAGCCCTCCTACTTAACTGTCACTGACACAGTAAAATCAAAGGCTCATCCTGTGATGCTGTTAAACTGTAAAATTCAAATGCTCTTACTTTTTGAGTAAAGATTCTTTGTCCTCATAACCTAAAGTGGGAATGTCGCTGAGAAATCAGGAATTTTTTTTTTTCCAGCGTTGAGGATGATGTTCTCTACGGAGTTTTCGTAAAGGGTTGGGATGTCGAGGAAACGATACCATCATCACAGAGCGCGCTTTGTGTGTACTCAATGGCCACGGTGGAAAAAATTTTCCTGGAAAACATCGAGCTGTGTTTCAAAGGTGAAACCAGTAAGGTGAGTAGTAATTTGGGAAGTTTTTTTTTTTTTAATGTGACTTCGTTCATCATTCGGTCATTTCAGTCTGATCATTTAGTCTTTTATACTAACTTTTAAAATAAAATTCGGCAATGGTTTGCGAAATTACACGGCATTCAAGGTCAGCACTGCTTATTTCTTAGTCACAGTTACATAGTTTTTCTCACAGGATACTCTTACTTGATTCCCTTTGGATGGTTTGGCAGAAAAAAATATGTGGTAACCCACGAGTAACGGTTTTTTTTTTGGAGCATATGGGATTTGTAGTAATTTATTGGGGAGCCACGTAGAAAATGCTTTCTATTTATACGTGTTCAGCTATATGCTTGTAACAGTTTATTCGAAATATAATGAATAAGGTTTGCAGCCTAGGGCCCAAGGGTCTGGCATTGCTGTGGGAGCATCCCAATAACATCACTAACTTGGGAAACTAACAGTGATAGCACAGGCGACTTTGGTATCCTTGCTGTGTAATAAATGGATTACTGATGAAATACTGTTGAATCAGGAAAAAAAAGTTGTCTTTTAGCTTTTGAAAAGGATTACCCGGTGCCGTCGTTTTCGTCCAAAAACTTCACTGGACTTGCGTTTTATCAAAGATAAATTTTGATGTTGATTTCTGATGCGTTTTGTGCTGTGTAACAGCAGTATAAAACGCATATTGTCATGGGATTGTCTCTTTGTGTATGTGTATGTGTGTTCGCAGAACTTGTCCGCAACTTTCAACTCGGAAAACACAAAAGCTAGGAAGCTGAAAATTTAGGGGAATGTTCCCCACCCACATGTGACCCCGAAAATTTAAAGTCAGCCTTCCCGTACCCGCGGGTAACATGTATGGCCCCGTAAAAGTTTTGGCAGGGAAAATTATTATCTCGGGGGCCACGGAATCTAGGAAGCTGATATTTTATGATAATGACCCCTGCTGTCGTAAGACCCCGTAAATACAAATTCAAAGTTTTTACGCTGTTGGATATCACCTACGGGCCCGTGGAAATTTTGGCGGGTAAATTATTGTCTTGGGAAAGCCAGAAGGCTGGAATTTTACTATCATGCTTCCTGCCCACATGCAATCCAACCTTTCCACACGCCTCAGTACCACTTATGGCCTCGTAAAAGTTCCGACGGGGAAAATTATTATCTCAGGAACCGCGAAAATCGGGAATCTTAAATTTTAGGGTGATTTCCTATACCAACATACAACCTGCAAATTTGGATTCAGCCTTCACGCACTCCTGGGTACCACGTACGATTCCATGAAAGTTTTGTTGGAAAAAATCATCTCGGGAGCCAGAAGAACTAGGAGGCTGAAAATTGGTGGGAAATTCTATTTTACGGGTAAGTTCCAGAAAATTTAAATTCAGCCTTCCCTTGCCCGCGGGTAACATATGCGGCCCAGTGAAACTTTTGGTGGGTAAATTATTATCTTGGGAACCGCGGAATCTAAGAATGTGAAATTTGGG